CCTGCTTACTGCCCATTTCATTTGCCCGTCCCACTCCCACTCTGATGCGTCTGGCCTCAGCCTCCTCCAGTGTCGCAGTGACTCGGAACACAGATTTGAAGAACAACACCTTATCTTCCGCTTGGGCACCCTACAGCCCAGACGACTCAATGTTGAGTTCTCCAATTTCAAATAACCTTGCCGTCCATTCCCTTCCTCCCCTTCCAGCCCCACCTCTTCCCTTCCATTCCACCTTCTGACACTCCTTCCAGCCACTAAATGGATTCATTACCAGGTCGTACCTATCACCAGTGTCCACCTATCACCACCATTCTGCCTCCGCCCTTTCCTCCGTCCTTTATCTGCAGCTCCGCCTACCGCCCCATCCAGTCCTGAAGAAGGGTAATACTCAAAATGTTCACTGCTCCTTTCCTCCACATGCTGCCTGGCCTGCTGTGTCCTTCCAGCTCCTGCTTGTCTACGTTCACACAATCTAGTCTGCTGCATTCACTGCTCACAATGTGGTCTACTCTACATTGGGGAAACGAAGTGTAGACTGGATGACTGCTGCACAGAGCACTTGCATTCTGTTTGCAAAAAAGGCCCTGAGCTTTCAGTTGCCTGTCACTTTAACGCACCACCCTGTTCCCTGGCCAACATCTCTGTCTCAGGCTCGCTGAGTGTTCCAGCGAAGATCAGTGCAAGCTGGAAGAACAACACCTCATTTTCCGATTGGGGACCCTGCAGCCCTCCGGACTCAATATCGAGGTCAATAACTTCATGGCTGGAGCTGTCCCATGTCGTTACCTCAACCTCCACACACTGGGCCTTGGTATCACATAGGCTGCCTTTGTCACCCACTGACAGCCTCCATTAACAACTATTTACCCTCCTAGCCAAATTATTATCCACTCCTTTATCTGTCCAATTGGTCTTCTCAACCTTTGAGCTCTATCCCCACCTATTCTTTATTCCTTGCCCCCTCCCACCACCCTATCTTCTGCATATAAACTGACATTTTCCTGGCAACCATCAGTTTTCTGAGGAAGGGTCACTGGACCCGAAACATAACTCTGATTTCTCTCCACAGATGCTGCCAGACCTGCTGAGCTTTTCCAGCAACTTCTGTTTTCGTCGCTGTCCTTGCCCTTCACTCTTTGAGGAACATACCGACCCTGAATTCTCACTATACTACTTTTAAAAGACCCTGCTTTCCAAATGTAGACTTAACTACAAGTAAGTGCTCCCAGGCTACGTTTGTCAGATCCTGTCAAAATATATTGAAACTGGCTTTCCCCTAGTTTAGATATTTAACCTTTGCACTATCCCTATGATCATTGCTCCCAAAATGCTTGCCCACTGACACTTCGACAACTTAACCAGATTCATTCTGTTGTATTAGGTCCAGAATTGCCCCGTCTCTTGACAGACTATTTGCATACTGGCACAAAACAACTCCCCTGGATGGAATTTAAAAATTCCACCTTGTGTAATCATTTCACACTAAGATGATCCGGTTAATGTTCGAAAAATTGAAATCCCCAACAAATATAATTCTGTTTCTCTCACAACTCTCTGTGATTGCTGACATATCTCCTCCTCTATCTCTGTGTGATGGTTGCAAGGCCTGTAGTATAATCCCGGCTAAGTCATGACCACTTTTTCAATTTCTGAGCTTTACCCAAATGGTCTCATTTAAACAGCTTTCTCAGATGTCCTCTCACATTACTGAAGTGATGGTTTGCTTTATCAATATTGCAATGCCTCCCCCAACCCACCATCATATCTGAAACTTCTATAACCTTTAATGTTGAGCTGCCAATCCTGTCCTTCGTTCGATTATTTTGCTGTGATTGCGACAATATCATGTTCCCATGTGCAGATCAATGCTCTAAGTTCATCTGCTTTACCAGTCAAGCTCCTTGCATTGATATAGATACAATTTAGCTTTCTAGAGATCCTGTGTGCCTTATCCCATGTCTTCTCCTCCTGCAGAAGAATCCTAGTATTCCTTATATATCTGATTGGAACTGCTCCCGATGCTTACATCTACTCTGTGCTGCACATCTCTGCCAAATGAGATTAAAATGTCCTCAATAGCATGAGCAAACCTCCCAGCAAGGATATTGGGCCCATTCCTGTTCAACAGGGTCCTATCCAGCTTGTACAGATTGAAAGATTTCTAAATAATAAATATGTATGGAGATATGGGAGTAGTGCAGACAAAAAGCATTGAAGGGAGTGATCAGCTGCTATCATGGGGAATACAGGAAGAGGATTAACTGGCTGAATGGCATCCTCCTGTTCCTATTTTCCAATGATTCACTTTGGTATGGATCACCGTCCAATGTGGAATTTGGCACCACTCGATCATAAAATTAACACATGTACTTGTCCTGCCATGTCTGACCATTAGGTGCCAATTTTACAGACATAAAACAGGTCAGCCCCATCCAGTTTCAAGGCCACAGTGTTTCTTAAGGATTCACTAATTGTCTGAGGGAGGCACAATTAAGGTAGGCAGCCACAGTCTGACCACTGAAAGGAAATGGTTTTGGAAATGTCCGGCTGAATGACACTCTCACCTCTGATTCAGCATAAAATGATGAGAACTGAGGGAGTGCCGCACTGTCAGAGGGTCAGTACTGAGGGAGCGCCGCACTGTCGGATGGTCAGTGCTGAGAGAGTGCCGCACTGTTGGAGGGTCAGTGCAGAGGGAGTGCCGCACTGTCGGAGGGTCAGTGCAGAGGGAGTGCCGCACTGTCGGAGGGTCAGTACTGAGGGAGTGCTGCACTGTCAGAATTGCTTTCTCAGCTGAGATTTTAAAGTATGTCCTTCCTCACAGGTGAGTGTAATTGATCCTTTAATGTGTATTTGAAATGGGGTGTATCATCCCCAATTACCATGTGCTGTATTTTATCCTCAGTCCAGCTGACTATGGTGCAACTGAGAGTAGTTGCTGCAAAACTATTGTTGCGTTCTTGTTGTGCATCAAATGACTGCCATGTTTCCTATGTCGTAATCAGAGACTTCACCCTCACAAACATCTTGCTAGTTGTCTGCCATTTGGGACAATGATGAGATCGTGAATATCATTACATCCTGTTGGTCTCTCAATCTTTGTCCTGTGAACCATGCTGACAGGATGCAGATGATGCAGCACTTGGCTCTTTCACAATCCGGTGCTGATCCCGGTTTCCTCATGTTCCCTTGCTACTGGTTGTGGTCATTCACACTGCATTTCTGCAGCTCATTGCGTCATGTTTTAGACCACAAGATCTTGGAGCAGAATTCGGCCATTAAGACCAACAGGTCTGCTGTGCCATTGGATCATAACTGATCGGCTTCTCAACCCCATTTCCCTCCCCTTTTTTGGTTTGTAATGGCCAAAAGTTCATCTTTTCCCAGTCATGGATGAGGAAGAATTTATTTGCTTAAGGGGTAGTGAATCTATGGAAATCTTTACCTCAAAGGGATGTGTGGCTGGGGCATTATGAGATCAACAGATTTTTAATAATTGAGAAAATCAAGGGTTAAGGAAAATGCTGGAAGGTGGAGTTGAAGATCGTCAGATTAACCAAAATGTCATTGAATGGTGGAGTGGAATTGATAGACTGAATGGCTTACTTCAGCTTCTACATGTTACAGTCTTATCCATCAGCAGATCAGCTATATCTTGATTCCATGACAGTTAAATTTGACAGGGTACCTTCTGAGTTATAATGTGCTCGATTCAAAACTCATTCCAAGCCAAGCACATTTTCTCCATAACACTGACGGAGTGCTGCCTTGTCAGAGGGTCAGTGCCGAGGGAGTGCCGCACTGTCGGAGGGTCAGTGCCGAGGGAGTGCCGCACTGTCGGAGGGTCAGTGTTGAGGGTGTGCCGCACTGTCGGAGGGTCAGTGTTGAGGGAGTGCCGCACTGTCAGAGGGTCAGTACTGAGGGAGTGCCGCACTGTCGGAGGGTCAGTGCCGAGGGAGCGCCGCACTGTCAGAGGGTCAGTGCCGAGGGAATGCCACACTGTCAGAGGGTCAGTACTGAGGGAGTGCCGCACTGTCAGAGGGTCAGTGCCAAGGGAGCGCCGCACTGTCAGAGGGTCAGTACTGAGGGAGTGCCGCACTGTCAGAGGGTCAGTACTGAGGGAGTGCTGCACTGTCAGAGGGTGAGTGCCGAGGGAGTGCCACACTGTCAGAGGGTCAGTACTGAGGGAGTGCCGCACTGTCAGAGGGTCAGTACTGAGGGAGTGCCGCACTGTCAGAGGGTCAGTGCTGAGGGAGTGCCGCACTGTCAGAGGGTCAGTGCTGAGGGAGTGCCGCACTGTCAGAGGGTCAGTACTGAGGGAGCGCCGCACTGTCGGAGGGTCAGTGCTGAGGGAGTGCCGCACTGTCAGAGGGTCAGTGCTAAGGGAGTGCCGCACTGTCATAGGGTCAGTACTGAGGGAGTGCTGCACTTTCAGAGGGTTAGTGCTGAAGGAGTGCCGCACTTTCAGAAGGTTAGTACTGAGGGAGTGCCGCACTGTCAGAGGATCAGTGCTGAGGGGAATGCAGCACTGTCGGACGATCAGTTGTGAGGGAGTGCAGCACTGACCAAATCCATGGCTGAGGATTTCATTGAGATATCAAAACTGCACCTTATACTCAATAAATAGATAAATATTTACAGCAGAGGACGTTCTGAAGTGAGAGCAAAGAAATGGTGTCAGTTTCAGGATGCTCCAGTGAAGACCTGGCCCACATGATGAATGGCCTCATGTGGTGCCATAAATATTTAAATTTCGATGATTAAAGTTAACATGGAGGAAATTATGAATAATGCCATTATGAGTGATGGCAACCTCTGTGATGTTCAAAGTTGCCATAGAAATTGCTTTGAAACCATTTGTTCCAACCAAGATTGGAGAAATGCACTCTGTGGTCACAACATAAAATAAAAATACTTTTTCCAGTGTATAGGATGACCAATTAAAAACTGGACTGACATCAGGTTTTTAAACAAAAGTCTGTACCTTGCAGATTCCTTAATGGGCACAATAATCAATTTATTATCAAAACAAAATTTATTCAATTCTCATGTAATCATTGATTTATACACATAGTCATATTGAAGCATAAGTGCTGATCCCTGTAATTATTTCCAAAACCTACCTGCAAACAATACTCAAACACAGATAACTCTTCAGGTGAAGAGAGAAAATAAAATCACATCTCTTGGCAGAGGTTTGTTTTCTGAAAAAGCTCTTTGGCCAATGGCTTATTTTGAAGGGAAAAGGATTAAGTATAGATCAGTTTGGAATGTGTTGTGCTGATGCTCAGGAAATGCAAACCTGAGGTGTTCTTTCAATCATTTTTCAAAAGAACAAGTAGATTTCACCCTGAGCTGATGTACAGGACCTTTGCTTCAGAAATGGGCTGAGATCAGCTGGAAATATTCATTCAGAATTGCTTTTTCGGCTGAGATTTTAAAATATGTCCTTCCTCACGTGTATTTGAAATGGGGGTATCATCCCCAATTGCCATGAGCTGTATTTTATCCTCAGTCCAGCTGACTAAAGCCCACCCTTTTCAGCTGCTCAAGCCAAACAGAAACACACCAGGGAATTCCTGGAGGCCTGGTATTCCAAACGGAACTCCATCAACAAACGCATTGAATTAGACCCTGTGTTCAATCCACTGAGAAACTGAACCGGAAGTAATGCCAATCACCTCAGCAAGCTGAGGCATATAAATAATAAGTGGGACAGAACACTGATGCTTCATCGGAGGCGCACTGACGATGTTACCTAGTAGGATGACCAAACGTTTGCAAACAAACCCACGGACTTGGCGAGCATGCCTACAAATTCACTTCAATAACCTCTTTTAAAGGGAGCCCTCAAGGGACTTCCACAAAACTTGAAGCACATTTCTTTCTTCACAATTCTTCAAACTTAAGTTTTCCAAACAATAATTTTTACCTATGACAGAAGTTAAGCCTATAGTTTCCTGCTTTCTGTCTTCAATGTAATGAGACTATCCAAATCAAGTGAATTTTGAAAAATTAAAACCAATGTAACAACCATCTCATCAGCCACGTCTTCTAAGACCCTAGGATGAAGTCCAACAGGACACAAGCACTCATCAGACCCCAGCTCCAACAATGTACTCAGTACCATTTCTCTAGTGATTATGATTTTCTTGAGTTATGGAGTCATAGTGTCATAGAATGATACAGCACGGAAACAGACCCTTCAGTCCAACTTGTCCACATCTCAATCTAACCCAGATCCATTTTCCAGCATTTGGCTCAAATCTCTCTAAACCCTGTCTTTTCAAGTACCCATCCAGATGCCTTTGAAATGTTGTCATTATACCTGCCTCACCACTTCCTTTGGCAGCTCGTTCCATACGCGCACCACCCTCTGTGTGATAAAGTTACCCCTCGTGCCCTTTTTAAATCTTTCCCCTTTCACCTTAAACCTATGCCCTCTAGCTTTGGATTCTTCCACCCTGGGAAAAAGACCTTGGCTATTTACCTTATCCACGCCACACATGATTTTATAAACCTGTATAAGGTCACCCCTCAGCCTTCGACGAGTTCCTCTGCCACTTCCATTTTGTAATTTATTGATGCTTCTTGGGGTGTCACTTGCATCCTCTACAGCAAAGACTGGTGTAAAATACCTGTTCAAGTCATCTGCCATTTCCTTACTTTCCATTACTTTCCATTACTAATTCTCCAAACTCACTTTCTACAGACCAGTGCTCACTTTGCCAATTCATAGAAATTCTGACAATCTTTTTTTAATATTTCTGACTAGCTTTCCTTCCTACTCAAATTTTTCACGAATTATTAGGTTTTTGGTCATTCTTTGCTGTTTTTTAGATTCTGTCCAATCTTCTGACTGGCCACATGTCTTTTGCACAGGTTCCAGAACATAGGAATCCCCTATACTATGAGAAATGTCGATGACTGTGGGAGATGGAGATATATAATCACACAAATGTGAAGGAGGTGGTGTAGTGCTAATGTCTCTGGTCTAGCAATCTAGAATCCTAGATTAATGTTCTGGGGAAGATGGTTTCAAATCCCATCATGGCAGAATGTGAAATTTGACTTCAATAAGAAGCTGGATGAATGATGGCCATGTAGCCATTGTCAATTGTCATAAAAATCCATCTGGTTTATGAATGTACTTTAGGGAAGGAAATCTGCTGTTCCTTATCCTGGCTCACATATGACTCCAGATTCCCACTCTTAGCAATAAATGCCAACTTAGCCAGCAAACTCCACATCCTGTGAAAAAATACAAAAAAAGCATTTTATATTTTCAACAGGGTCTCACCGAAGACAGCTTTCTGTTTTGAATAGAGTGTAATGTGTGGCACAGGACATGGGAGTAAGAAAACCATAATGGTACAATTACATTCCAATCATATCTGTCAGTGTCCCAGTATAACCAATGCACCCCAGAAACAGAGACCGAAACGTCAGCCTCTCTGCTCCTATGATGCTGTTTGGCCTGCTGTGTTCATCCAGCCCTGCACCTTGCTGTCTCGGATTCTCCAGCATCTGCAGTTCCTACTATCTCTGATTCAATTTCACCCCAGAAACAGCACTTCTATGGAAAGTAGCAATTTACGCCCATAAAATATCAGCTGATTTGCTAATTCCACAGGAAACTGATCCTCCAACCCAATGACCCCAATTCAAGAACAAAGAACAGGCCCTTCAGCCCTCCAAGCCTGTGCCGATCCAGATCCTCTATCTAAACCTGTCACCTATTTTCCAAGGATTTGTATCCCTCTGCTCCCTGCCCATTCATGTATCTGTCTAGATACAACTTAAATGACGCGATCGTGCCCGCCTCTACCACCTCCGCTGGCAAGGCGTTCCAGGCACCCACCACCCTCTGCGTAAAGAACTTTCCACGCATATCTCCCTTAAACTTTACCCCTCTCAACTTGAAATCGTGACCCCTAGTAATTGAGTCCCCCACTCTGGGAAAAAGCTTCTTGCTATCCACCCTGTCTATATTTCTCATGATTTTGTAGATGTCAATCAGGTCCCCCATCAACCTCCGTCTTTCTAATGTAAATAATCCTAACCTACTCAACATCTCTTCATAGCTAGCACCCTCCATATCAGGCAACATCCTGGTGAACCTCCTGTGCACCCTCTCCAAAGCATCCACATCCTTTTGGTAACGTGGCGACCAGAACTGTGCGCAGTATTCCAAATGTGGTCGAACTAAAGTCCTATACAACTGTAACATGACCTGCCAACTCTTGTACTCAATACCCCGTCCGATGAATGAAAGCCTGCCGTATGCCTTCTTGACCAATCTGTCGACCTGCATTGCCACCTTCAGGGTACAATGGACCTGAACACCCAGATCTCTCTGTGTATCAATTTTCCCCAGGGCTTTTCCATTTACCACATAGTTCACTCTTGAATTGGATCTTGCACCATCTCTCAAGCCACACATTTATCCTGCCTATTCTTTCATTTCTACTCTGACTAGCACGTGGCACTGGTAGCAATTCTGAGATTACTACCTCTGAGGTCCTACTTTTTAACTTGGCTCCTAACTCTCTAAATTCTGCTTGTAGGACCTCATCCCGTTTATGACCTATATCATTGGTGCCTATATGCACCACGACAGCTGGCTGTTCACCCTCCCCCTTCAGAATGTCCTGCAGTCGATCTGAGACATCCCTGACCCGTGCACCTGGGAGGCAACATACCATTCGGGAGTCTCGTTTTCGACCAAGAACTGCCTATCTACTCCGTTTACAATCGAATCCCCTATGACTATAGCACTTCCACTCTTTTCCCCGCCCTTCTGTACAGCAGAGCCAGCCACGGTGCCATGAACCTGGCTACTGCTGCCTTCCCCTGGTGAGCCATCTCCCCCAACAGGATCCAAAACGGTATACCTGTTTTAGAAGGAGATGACCGCAGGGGACACTTGCACTGCCTTCTTGCTTTTTTTTCTCTGCCTTTTGGTCACCCATTCCCTTTCTCCCTCAGCAATCCTAATCTGCAGTGTGACCAATTTGCTGAACGTGCTATCCACGACTTCCGCAGCATCGCGGATGCTCCAAAGTGAGTCCATCCGCAGCTCCAGAGCCATCATGCGGCCTAACAAGAGCTGCAGCTGGACACACTTCCTGCACGTGTAGGAGTCAGGGACATCAGCCTCGTCCCTGAGCTCCCACATTGAGCAAGAGGAGCATAACATGGGTCTGGGATCTCCTGCCATTTTTACTCTTAAGCTTAACTTAGTCCTACTATAATATCAAATACTAGATAAATGAAATGAAAAAAATTTGTACCAAATCACTCTACTTACCAGCACACGATAAAAAACAACAAAAAGAAAACAAAAAGAAAAACACTTACCTTATCAACACACCAGAGTCGTTTTTTTTTGGTCAGAGGAGGAGGGCGGGTGGGAGACACCACGCGTGTAGTGTCTCGGGTTTAGCCACTGCCCAAATATATCAGTTCACTCACCTTCCGAGAGCGCAATTCGACCGCTCCCACTCAACTCCGCTGCCAAAATGAAGAACTTACCTCCCGGCAGGCCCCTGCTCCTCGCTCTCACTGCTCCTGCTGTTCCTGCTGCAAAAAAGGATTACAGGAATAGGGCGGGGGCTTGGGTCCGGGTGAGATGCTGTTTGGAGGTTTGGTTTGGACTTGATGGGCCGAATGGCCTGCTTTCACACTGTAGGGATTTTATGCTTCTGAGCAGCCTAAGGCTTTCCTCCTTGCTGTATACCATACCAACAATTTTCATGCTATCTGCAAAAGTACTGATCAAACCTGCATTCATAAATAATGATCATCACTGTATATAACAAATAGCAAAAAACTCAGCACTGAACACCATGCAGCACCACGGGACACAAGCTTCCAGTTTCAAAAACACCCTTTGACCATGACATTCTGCTTCAGTTTGCCAAGTTGCGCTGGATCCCATGGGTTCTTAGCTTCTTCCCTAATCTGCCATGCGGGATGTTCAGACTATATCAACTATAATACCCTCAGCTATACACCTTGTCACCTCCTCAAAAAAATTCAATCAAATTTGATTGACATTATCAGTCCATTATCCTTGATTAATCCTTGCCTCTCCAAGTGGAGATGAATTCTGTCTCTCAGAATGTTTTCTGGAGGTTTATCCCGACCACAGATGATAGGTACTGGCCTGTAGTTTCATGGTTTATCCTTACCACCCTTCTTGAATAACGGTATCACATTAGTTGTCCTCCCATTCTCCAGCACTTCTTTGTGGTCAAAGAGGATTGGAAAATTAACATCAGAGGCTCTGCAATCTCCTGCCTTGCTTTCCAATAGAGCCTGGTATACAACTTACCTTTGAGCCTTGGGTTTTATCTACTTTTAAGCCCATTAAAGTCATTAATACCTCCTCCCTCTCAATGCTAATTTGTTCAAGAATACCACAGTTCCTCTCCCTGATTTCTGTACCTACCTTCACAAAAGTGAATAACTCAGCAAAGTACTCACCTTGGCTATCTCCTCTGGCTCCACACGTAGATTGTCATTTTGGTTTCGCGTGGGGCCTGCTCTCAGCCTGGCCACTCACTTGCCCCGAGATTGTTGACTTGCTCGCCAAGCTGGCTTGATTTTGTTTAGGCATTTTGTCACCTTCCCAGGTGACATCGTCTGTGGAGCCTCCGATGAAGCGATGTTATTCTACTCCGCTTTAGCACATTAATCTTGTAATTGTTTAAAGTTTTGGCAAAGATCTGTAGCTTGGGTTGTGGATGAGGTTGGCCCAGGTTAATAGCTCCAATCAAGGAACTCATACTCATCGCCCTTGGGCAACCCGGTTCTAATCACTACATCCCACCCCCAACAAGCCTGAGGATGTAGGCCTGTTCCTTTTCTTGTCCAACTGTTCCACTCTGACTCGGATATGGGAGGCGTGTACTGGACCCTAGCCTGTTTCTTGCACCTGGGTGATCTTGGTAGAAATTCCTCCTCTTCTTCAGGCAGTAATTGTATTGAAGCTGTGACAATGGCTGCATCCATCTCAGTCTCACAGGTTTCTTCAATGCGAGATGGAGGGGGAGAGCCCATTGTTTCTTAAGCTCTTCTGAGGGGCCGGATATGTTTTGTTCCTGCCCCTTTTGCGAAGTAGCAGCTTTCATGTGAACCAGTTGTTTGTTCAGGACTGCCTCACCTATCTGAACTTTGTATGTCACGGGACCTGACCTCACATTCACCCTGCCTCGTACCCATGCAGGGCCATTTCTGTGGTTTCAGCACCAAACGTTGTCTCCGTCTCTCTCGCTTAAAGGAATCTTGTGTCCGGCTTTGGCATTCCTGATGCCGTTTCACACTCCGCCCCCAGGTCTGGGAATATCATGTTCATCCGTCAGCAACTCTGCTGGAGCTATCACTGTAGTTGTGTTAGGGGTGGTCCTATATCAAACAGGAGCTGGGACAGTTTGGTATTGCGTAAAGCTGTAGGTTGTTTCTTTAAACCTGACTTCAATGTTTGGCCTGCTCTTTCCATCAGACCATTGAATGATGAATGGTATGGTGCTGTCCAAACATGCCGAATGCCATTCGGCTTTAGGAAATACTCAAAATCCCTGCTTGTAAATGACGTCCCGTTGTCCGTGACCAATACTCCTGGGAGTCAGTGTATTGCGAATGATGCCCGCAACTTTTCAATCGTCATCCCTGAGTGTGATGAATAAACTTTATGCACATCCATCCACTTTGAGTGGGCATCCACAATAACCAAGGGCATTGAGTCCATGAAAGGACTGGCATAGTTGACGAGTAACTGAGTCCAGAGTTTGCCTGACCATTCCCATGAATGTGGGGGAGTTGCTGGTGGTGAGTTTTGCCCTTCTTGGTGCTCCGGGCACTGCCCCACCAACATGGCCAAGTCAGCATCCAATCCTGGCCACCAGACATAACTTCTTGCCAACCCCTGGATGACCTTTACTCGGGACAATCACTCTTGCTGCCCATAATAATATGCCATCCTCTACAGTGATCTTGTCTTGCTGATCCAGACAAGTTTCGGTTCTTTTTGTGATGGCCGTTTCGTATCTACGTATTGGGCCCAATCTCCAATGGCAGGATCAAATCAGTCAAGATTTCCAAATAAAGGCATGATGCCAAAAATGCTTACTCCAACTCAAAGAGACTGTTACAAGCAAATTTCCTTCAGGAGCGTATGTTTTCAATTGCCGCCACTGAAATAATTCCACAGAGGCTGGTATCCTGTCACCAAGTCACCCTATATTTACACATGCACAGTACATGGACTCTGACCAGCTAACTCAGAGCCAGTCTCTAGAGTGAGGAGAATCCCTGGTGATATCTTTCAGCCAGAGCTTCCTGAGTGACCCCAGGTTAACAGCATCAATCAGGAACTCAGACTCAATGAGACCCACCTGGCCAACCTCATTCCAATCACTACAGGTCTGGTCACTCATCAGTAGGGGTCATCATTCCAAAACAGTCATGCGGCTGGGTCACAGTCAGTCCTGGGTGTCTACGGTAAACAAGTTGGGGAAATCAATTCTGGGAATTGGAGGCAGCACGTTCGGAAGCAGAGAAGACAATAATTGTAATGGGTGCAACTCAACATATAGGGTGGCAGACAATAGTGCAAGGGAGAACATGGGATAGGGTTACTGCAGAGGGGGTGGTGGTCATCGATAGTTAATACCAATTCAGTTTTGACAAGTGGCAGAGCATCAAGATAATTGGCATAAGTAACTTGTAGGCCCAGGGCTCAGGAGTAATGTTGGGAGATGAAGACTTTAATAAAATAGTTGGGTAGAAGTGTGGGAAATTGATGGATTTGACAGGAAGCGCAAGGAAGAAAGGACCATGAAGCTTTGGAAGGTCACCTACCTTAAAAAGCAGACTCACTGTACAAAATGCAAACAGTGCTGCCTTCCAGTGTCATCCCAATAACAGGTGTCCTCTGGAAATGAGAAATCATAGAACCCTATAGTGCGGGAATAGGCCATTTGGCCCATCGAGTCTGCACCAACCCTCCGATGGGCATCCGACCTAGATCCCTACTCTATCCCTGTAACCCTGCATTTACCATGGCTAATCCACCAAGCCTACACATTCCTGGACATTACAGACAATTTAGCATGGCCAATCCACCTAACCTGCGCATCTCTGGACTGTGGGAGGAAACCAGAACACCCAACAGGGACAGGGAGAACATGCAAACTCTACACACAGTCAATGAAGGATGGAATTAAACCTAGGTTCTTGGCGCTGTGAAGCAGCAGTAGTAACCACTGAGCCACCAAGACACCCTATTGTTTGCCACTACACTTGGAGTGGGTGGAGTAGTGTGTTTTTTTTCCTATTTGAGGATACAGGCTCTACTTGTGCGTGTTGTGAGGCCCTTCAAGGTACAAATGCATTGATCAGGTATAGGATATCTGTAAGCATAGAATTCTGCATGTGGAGTAGAAATCCTGGCCACAAGCAATCTTGGCCATCTCATCAGTCTTTATGAATTGGTCATAGACATCTCCATGAACCAGGTGACCTTAAAAGTTTCAGCTGTGAGCCACAACTCACAAAGACAATCCAGGATTGCATTGGCTTACATGGGCATAGAGCAGATTTCCTCCCACATTGGCTATAATCAACATTCTCTTAAATGCATCGCTGCCTTTCTGGGCAATGTTGTGGGGAGATGGTGGGAAGGCAGGAAAAGGTTGCATCAGTCAAAGGCCTTACAGGAGTTACAATCACCTAGTATATTTGGCTGACATGGCTTCAACTACATACATTGGAATGAGATTACACATTCATACAGCAAGTAAAACATGACCCTTCAATCTAACTCATCCAGGCCAACCAGATATCCTAAATTAATCTAGTCCCATTTGCCAGCATTTGGCCCATATTTCTACAACTCCTTCCGATGCATGTACCCGTCCAGTTGTATTTTGTACCAGCCCCCACCACTTCCTCTGGCAGCTCAATCCATATGCGCACCACCCACTGCATGAAATGGTTGCCCCTTTAATGGGTCCCTTTAAAACCTTTCCCCTTTAACCTTAAACCTATGCCCTCTAGTTTTGGACTCTCCTATTCCCTGGGAAAAAGTCCTTGACTATTGACCCTATCCATGTCCCTCATAATTTTATGAACCTCTATAAGGTCACCCCACAACCCCCGACGATCCAGGGAAAGTAGCCCCAGCCTCTTTAGTCTCTCCCTGTAGCTCAAACCCTCCAATCCTGGCAACATCCTTGTAAATCTTTTTGGCACTCGTTCAAGTTTAACATCTTCCGTCTAGCAGGGAGACCAGAATTGAATGCAGTATTCCAGAAGTGGCCTAACCGATGTTCTGTTTAGCCGCAACACAACATCCCAACTTCAATACTCAATGCACTATGTCAAGTCCAATGTAAGGCGTTCCATGACCCACCCTATCAGAGTCTTCCATCTCCCATTGTATCAAGGAATCTGCTAAATTATTCATTTGTGTATGATGCAAATGTTTGCTGCTCACATCAATAACTAACTGCTTAGTGTCTGATAGTGTCCGCTTAAGAGATTATTGTGCAAGATTAAAGCACATGGGACTGAGGGAAGTGTATTGAGATGGATAGGAAACTGGTTTGCAGAGAGGAAACAAAGAGTAGGAATTATTGGTTCCTCTTCAAATTGGCAGGCAGTAACTAGTGATGTTACCCTTACCTACTGAGCCTGAAGTTAGATTCTTGACCCTTTCTATACTCTCTGTCCTATTACTTGTTTGAAAAACTTTAGTAACTTCTGATGAACCCTCCCCCACTTTCACATTTTCCATACTTTTCTATGCAATTGAATCTACTCCTTCCACTCCCCGCCACACCATTTAGTTTAAAGCCCTATCCAGAGCCCTAATTATGCGATTTACCAGAACTCTGATCCCAGTATGATTCAGGTAGACTCCATCCCATCAGAACAGCTCCCTCCTTCCCAGTGCTGGTGCTAAAGTCCGATGAATTCAAAGCCATTTCTTCAAAACCAATCTTTCAGCTGTGCATTTACCTCTTTAATCTTCTTGTGCCAATTAATTCATGGATCAGATAGTAATCCGGGAATCATCATCTTTTTGTTTCTGCTTTCTAATTTAGCACCTAGCTGCTTGTATTCCCTCAGCAGAACCTCTTTCCTCTTTCTACCCATATCGTTGGTACTTATGTGGACCCCAACAACTGGATCTTTCCTCTCCCACTACAAGTTCTTCTGCAGCCCAGATGAAATATCCTGAACATAGGCACCAGGTAGGCACCACAGCCTTTGGGACTCTCAATCCTGGCCACAGAGAACAGAGTCTAGTCCCCTGATTATACTATCCCCGATTACACTATCCCTGATTCCTGTTGCATTTCTCTTGAATATTGAATGGTGGAGCAGGCTTGAAGGGACAAATGGCCTACTCTTGCTTAAATGTTCTATGTTTTTATATACTCTAGAGTACTTATCCAGACTTGGGATTGCTGATACTGGGAACATAACCCATACACTGTTGTCCTCAAATAGTACACCCTGTAAAAGGGAGTTCGGAACAAGGTTCACAAGAAGCAAAATCAGCAGATTTGTCAATTTCATAGGAAATGACATTCGGTAACAAACACATCCGAATTTAATAAATACATTGCAGAAGTGGACATCCTTCATCATATGATTTCTGGTAATGATCTGACTTTTACAGTACACTGCAAAACATTCTCACAGAATTTTATCCAGGCCTCTTGAGTCACTTCTCTTTCAGATTCTGAATTTTCTTGTTTAAATTTCTTAATGCCTGGCAACACTGCCCATTTTACAGAACATCTATTGCAGTTTGACAGGAGTCACACTGGACAGCACTTCGTTATTACACAAAGCTGAGCTTGTGCCAACAAACATTGTAGAAACATTCTAGAAGGCTATGAGTTGTTTTTCTGTTTGTGTCTGGTACGCTAAACGGCGAAGCAAATCACTTTACCAACTTACAGACAACATCAATCATCTTGTGAGAAGGTATGTATATTTAATTGACCGTTCAATCCAATCCCATTGACAGACATTTTTTTGCTTTTTGTGCAATATTCGTTGGAGAGTTTGCAAATATGTTGACATTTTCTGATTTGATTTGATTTGATTTAGAGATGGTTGTGGATCAATGACAATAAATAAGATTAAATAATTAAATATATTAGAAATGGAGTGTAAAAAAGTTTGCGAAGAGAATCAAGAGAAGAAAGAAAATGACCTTTCACTCATAAGATGATATTTTATGGCGCTGCATACTGGATCTAAAAATAAATATTTATTCAAACTGTTTTGCTTCTATTCTGACAGAAACATGAGAAAAAAAGAAACTTAGGTTAATCCATGTCTTTTGTAATTCTCAATTCATCCCAGACAGCCTTACAAGAGCATTATTCCATTGAGAAAAAAAACAGAATGTTGCAGATGATAGAAATAAGACAAATAAATACAAAATGTTGCAAATACTCAGCAGGTCAGGAAGCATCTGTGGAGGGATTGACAGAGTTCAAGTTTCATATTGGTGATGTTAACTTGTTTCTCTTTTCGAAAATGCTGCCTAACCTGCTGAACTCTAGCATTTTCTGTTTTTATTAAGTGTATGTACGAAGAAGGAGCAGGTATATGCTATTCATTCCTCGGCTGTTCAATAAGACCATAGCTGATCAGATAAAGTCCACAGAAAGTCTTAGTCTACGTTCCCTGCTACACCCAATAATCTTTCATCTCTCTCGTGACTCCCTTGTCCGCTCCACACTCCCCTCCAGCTCCACCACACCCGGCACTTTTCCCTGCAACCGCAGGAAGTGCTACACCTGCCCCCATACCTCCTCCCTCACCCCCATCCCAGGCCCCAAGAAGACTTTCCACATCAAGCAGATGTTCACCTGCACATCTGCCAATGTGGTATACTGCATCCGCTGTACCCGGTGTGGCTTCCTCTACATCGGGGAAACCAAGCGGAGACTCGGGGACCGCTTTGCAGAACACCTACGCTCGGTTCGCAATAAACAACTGCACCTCCCAGTCGCGAACCATTTCAACTCCCCCTCCCATTCCTCAGACGACATGTCCATCCTGGGCCTCCTGCAGTGCCACAACAATGCCACCCGAAGGTTGCAGGAACAGCAACTCATATTCCGCTTGGGAACCCTGCAGCCCAATGGTATCAATGTGGATTTCACAAGTTTCAAAATCTCCCCTCCCCCTACCGCATCCCAAAACCAGTCCAGCTCGTCCCTGCCTCCCTAACCTGTTCTTCCTCCCACCTATCCCCTCCTCCCACCTCAAGCCGCACCTGCATCCCCTACCGACCAACCTCATCCCGCCCCCTTGACCTGTCCGTCCTCCCTGGACTGACCTATCCCCTTCTTAACTCCCTACCTACACTCACCTTTACTGGCTCCATCCCCGCCTCTTCGACCTGTTTGTTTCCTCTTCACCTATCCTCTCCTCTATCCCTCTTCTATCCGCCTCCCACTCTCTCCCTATTTATTTCAGAACCCCCTTCCCCTCCCCCTTTTCTGATGAAGGGTCTCGGCCGGAAACGTCAGCCTCTCTGCTCCTATGATGCTGCTTGGCCTGCTGTGTTCATCCAGCCCTGCACCTTGTTGTCTCGGATTCTCCAGCATCTGCAGTTCCTACTATCTCTGATTCAATTTTAACCTTTCATCCCCATTTTCTGATTTGTTGCATTGACAACCAAAGCTATACGCACAACAGTGAGATAAATGACCAGGTTGTGGCTTACAATTTGTATTCGAAATAACTAGGAGGCTAATGTTACTGCTGTGTTCAAAAAAAGGTTGGAATAATGGCAGGCCAGTCAGTTTAGCCTTGGTAGTGGGGATGCTTTTAGAAATCATTAATCAAGATAACCTTAACGTCACTTGGGCAAATAAAGGTTAATTAAGGAAAGTCAATATGTGACTTTTTCAGGACAAATCGTATTTTACTAACTTGCTTGAGTTTTTAATAAGATAACTGAGATTAATGTAGATGACATGATGTGCAAAGTGTATGTTCCCTACACAGATGAAGTGCGCTGTTACAGGAACTAGCTGCTGAGATCCAGCTGCATATGCAAGTTGCACTCTGACAAATGGAGTTTAATTTGGATAAATGTGACGTGTTGCATTTTCATGAAACAAACCAGGGCAGAACTAATATGTTAATGGTAAGGCCCTGGGTAGTATTGTCAAACAGGGAGACCAGAGGTTTAGGTACTTAGCTCTTTGAAAGTTGCATCAAAGGTAGTCAGAGTGGTTGAGAAGGCGTTTAGCGTGCTTGCTTTCATTGCTCATACACTGAGTGCAGGAACTGGGACATCATGTTGAGGCTGTGCAGGACCTAGGTGAGGCCACTTTTGGAGTAATGTGTACAGTTCTGGTCGCCCTGCTACAGGAAGGATATTATTAAATTGGAGACGGTTCAGAAAAGATTTACCAGGATGTTGCCGGGGCTGAAGGGTTTGGGTTATAGGATAGGCTGGGATTTTTTCACTGGAGTGTCGGAGGTTGAGGGGTGACCTTGTAGAGTTTTATAGATAAGATGAATGGCAAAGGTCTTTTCCCTAGGGTGGGGGGGTTCAAAACTCGAGGGCATTTGTTTAAGGTGAGGGGTGAAAGATTTAAAAGGGATGTGAGGGGCAACTTTTTCACACAGATGATAGTTCGTATGTGGAATGAATTGCCAGAGGAAATGGTAACTGCAGTTAGTTAAAACATTTAAAATACATTTGGTCAGATACGTGGATAGGAAAGGTTTAAAGGGATATGGGCCAAACACAAGCAAGTAGAACTAGTTTAGTTTGGGAAACCTGGTTGGCGTAGACGAGTTGGACGAATTAGTCTGTTTCTGTGCTGTATGACTCTATGAATCTATGACCCTATTAAACTTCATGTATCACTACTCAGCCTATTTGCCCAATTTATCGAGATCCTTGAGTAATCTTAGATAATATCCTTCACTGTCAACTACGTCACCAATTTTGGTGTCATCTGAAAACTTACAAACCATTCCTCCTAAATTCTCATCCAAATGTAATTGACAAGCAATGGTGGACCCAGCACCAATTCCTATGGAACACCACTGGTCACAGGCCTCCAATCCAAAACACAACCCTCCACCATCACCCTCTGTCTCCCACCATCAAGCCAATTTTGTATCCAATTGACAAGCTCAAATATATCACTGCCCAAATATATCAGTTCACTCACCTTCCGAGAGTGCTATTCGACCGCTCCCACTCAGCTCTGCAGCTGAAATGAAGAACTTACCTTCTCGGCAGCCCCCTGGTCCTTGCTTTCACAGCTCCAACTGCTCCTGCAGCAAAAAATGGAGGTCGCTGATTCCACGAGGTAAGTACTTAAATGGGAAACTTACCTTCCCAGCAGCCCCCTGGTCCTCGTTCTCACTGCTCCCACTGCTGCTGCAAAAATGGAGGCCAACACAAGTCTCTGTGGTGTGTTGGTCAGGAAAGGCTTTTCTTTTTCTTTTTATTATCAACACAAATTGTTAAGTCCAATTTTAATTACAACATTTCTGTTCTGTTCTAATTTAACAAATATAATTTAAGTATGATTTATATAGGGGAGCATTTTGAGATCAGTGAACATAATTCCATAAGTTTTAAGAGAGTTATGGATAGGATAAGACAGGCCCTTGAGTGAAAGTGCTAAATGGGGGGAAGGCTAATTACAACAATATTCGGCAGGAGTTGGAGAAATTAGATTGGGGGTGGCTGTTCGAGAGTAAATCCACATCTGACATGTGGGAGTCTTTTAATGAATGCATGATTTTTATTGTCACGTATATTTTACAGTAGGAATACAATAAAATACAATGAAAAGCTTTCAGTTGACGCCACGATTGGGTGCCATTTTGAATAATTTAAGAATAAAAAAGAAAAAGAAAGATCTAGCTCAAAGAGGATCCGTCAGCCCTGAGCCAGGTCCTTATCATCAACTACTTCATCGTCGTCAACACCGAACCCAATCAACATTAAAGTTGCCGATCCTCAGCACTGCTTGCCCAGTAGTCCACCAGCTTCCTGCCATATGTGCTGGACCAACTAACATCAGAGTTGTGTCTCTCGCCGCTGACCCCACCTCTTCAAGCTGCCCTGATGCCCTTCCATCACTGCTTCACCACCAGTGACAGACCAAACCAACAACAAAGTCCTCAGGTGCCATCATTCACTGCTGACCCTACCTCACCCCCGCCAATGTAGCATCTATCTATTCTGATTCCAAGTCCTGCGCATGCCCTGAAAAAGTAAGTAAGGGCATACACAGGGCCAGCACTGGGCCCACTCTTCTCCATGCTGGGCTTGCTCTCCTCTGCACTTGGCCCACTCGAGGTGTGCGCTGGCTTCATTCGAGGTCCACGTTGGGCCCACTCGAGGTCCGCATTGGGCCCACTCGAAGTCCACGTTGGGCTCACTCGAGGTCTGCGTTGGGCCTACTCGAGGTCTGTGTTGGGCCCACTGGAGGTCTGCATTGGGCCTACTCGAGGTCTGCATTGGGCCCACTCGAGGTCTGCGTTGGGCTCAGTCGAGGTCTGCGTTGGGCCTACTCGAGGTCTCTGTTGGGCCTACTCAAGGTCTGTGTTGGACCCACTTGAGGTCTGCATTGGGCCCACTTGAGGTCTGCGTTGGGGCTACTCGAGATCTGTGTTGGGCCCACTCGAGATCTGTGTTGGGCCCACTTGAGGTCTGCGTTGGGCTCATTTGAAGTCTGCATTGGGCCCACTCGGGGTCTGCGTTGGGCCCACTCGAGGTCTGCGTTCACTTGAGGTTTGCATTGGGCCCACTCGAGATCTGTGTTGGGCCCACTCGAGATCTGTGTTGGGCCCACTTGAGGTCTGTGTTGGGCTCACTTGAAGTCTGCATTGGGCCCACTCGAGGTCTGTGTTGGGCCCACTCGAGGTCCGTGTTGGGCCCATTTGAGGTATGCATTGGGCCTACGCAAGGTCTGTGTTGGACACACTCG